AACCCCCCCCCCCCCGGGGCCGTGCTACACAACTCTGGCACGGCAGCGATTCAAACGTCGTGCCTCTGTCGCGCCAAACAAAATTCATAAATTATATTAATATATTTTGGCGGGATTGCGCTCCCACGGAGAGTTAGGAGGAGAATTTTGCGAGGCATCAGTAAATTCTAAATTTGATTCGACTCTGGTACGACGTCTGAATCAGAGTTGTTTTTCTGCCGTGTCATACTCGAACCAAATTGCAATTGAGTTCGGCACGGCAGAAGCACGACGTCTGAACTGGACCATGTGTATACCGAGAAAATACTAGTGAAAAGTGAGATATTTTATGGTTTACCATTCGAATGCGTTGAATAATTACTATGTATCCACTCCGGGGGTCAGTAATCGAATCCTTCCACTTCATTCTATCCCGCACATCAGCGCTTTTAATTAAAGTTCAAGTTAACCAGGAGCAATTCCGCGTCCAATTTCAAGCATCATTTACATGTGATATCGATCACTTAGGTTTGCATTGTCGTCATCAATTAATTCTCTACCGGAAAAAAAAAAATCATGAAACCCTTCCTTAAGATCCAGAATCAAATCTAAAATCTCTTTATTTCGCTTACCATCTTTTATTACAAGCTAGTTAGCTACGTACTGCAGACTATAACTCACGTCGCGCTGTGTTCTAACCAAAGGCTTGTGTAGCGAAGGTGAAAGTAATTCAGCGTTCGAAGCAGCTGCCCCTCCATTAATGCTGTTTATCTGTAATTTAAAACGTGCCTTACGGACAATCTATTGCAAATGCGAATCGTTCTCTTTGTTTAAGTCAGTAAAATAAAATTATTTAACTACTTTTAGCTTTCGAGAATCTAATATAAGGTTCCTTTTCAATGATGTTTTGACCGAATATTCCACAGTAACATACAGTTCAATATAACACATACATATACACATACAAATCACATACCTACTGATAAGAGGGTATACGTACTTCACAATAGCAAAAACTAAAAAGTTATAATCAACATACGAGTCTTTTAGTTTTAGCCATGAATTCTGCAATTATTTCCTTGAACCCACAACGATATCTCTCACTTTGAAATCCAAGAATAACAGGATTCATGGCTGAGTTGCAGTGTAACAGAAATAGAGATGTCTTGTGAAGCAAACCCTTGTTGGAGTGGTAAAACAAGAAATAAATTGCTCGAGGAGTGAAGCAAACGATGAAAGCTAATGTCACGATAAGCAGTAACCTGACTACCTTCCGCTTGCGCTGCAGCTCTTCGCTGACGCAAATTTTCTGACAGCCGAAGTAAAATCCTTTAATAATCTGGCAATAACAGAAGCATATCACTGCCAGGGCTAAAGCCACTCCGAACCCAAATACTGAAAAGTAGATGCGCCGGCCATTTCTTCCAAAGTCATGAAAGCAAGTTTTCTTCCGTTTGTCGAAGACAGTGAAGATGAAAAGTGGAATGATCAGAGCGACCGCGTAAATCGAAATGCCAAAGACCCAGTAGATAATGTTTTCCCTGGCTATACGCAGCCTGTTGTTCAATGGTTTGACAAGAGCATGGAATCGCTCGATAGCCAATAAGGCGAGTGTAGTGATGGAGACAGCGATGGTTACGCTCGATACGTTTCCTCGAGCGAAAACCCAGCAAAACACGGAACCGAGAACCCCTCCAGGAAGCGGGAACACGAGGAAGAACGCGAAAGGAACGAAACAAATCAGCGAGATCAAATCTGCTACTGCCACAAATGCAAGAAGAATGTTCGTGGTCGAACGCAAATTGCGGTTTCTCCGCACTAATGTTATCACGAGCGAATTTCCGACGACGCCAACGAGACTCAGTATCATGTAACTGATCATCAAAGGGACATTTTCCATTGAGGCAGCCATTTCATCTCTTTCTTCAGAAGGGACTTCAGTTTGGTTAAATGTTAAAGATAGGTTTTGCAGCATAATTGCTTGGTACGGTTTAAACTTCTATCATAAGCTCGTTTTAAAATAACTTGTGCATCCCAGTTTGTGCTATTTTAAGCAACAGCCTGAGGTTTACAAGAAAAAATGTTTTGAGTCATATTTCACTCTTTTTAGATGGCTGCTGACGGTGGATCAGATTTACAATTAAATCGATCGAGCTTTTCAACATTCTATGTTCTAAAAATCGTTTCATTCTCACATGGACATCCTAATTGCATTGGCTGCCTTGAAGTGATAATTTCGGTTTAGTTTCATCTCCATCTTAAAATGCTTTTCCTGTCTCAGCAATCGATTAATTGACTGGTAATTTTTTAAGTTAAATATACAGACAAGTGCAACTGGGGGCATCAAAAGAACCGACCATAACGCACGCAGCAATTGCCCTTCTTTGTATTCAAACTCTCTTTGGTGCACCTTTTATAGGCCCCGTGCGTCTACACTACGCTGGAGGAATTTGAAAACGCAGCTTTATTTATCCGGTTAGGCCTACCGTCAACAGTAATCCGTCATCAAAGCGAAGTTTTCCGAAAACGCTCCTCAAACCGGATGGAATTGAAAACGCCGGCTTTTCGTTTTAGTGTTTATGGAAAACATTTTGAAAACAGAGCTTTTCGAAAACGACGTTCGAAATCGATAGTCATGGATTTTCCTGTCCGAGTTTTCCTCAAACGCAAAATCCAAAATGAGCGGTGATTGTTGCGTTTTCAAATTTCTCCGCCACAGTATTGATCAAAAATATATTGGAAGCGTTTTCATGGTGAAAACACCGGTTTCAAATTTCTTCGGCGTAGTGTGGAATAATTGGGCCCAGAGAGGAGATTGTGCAGGGTGATGCGGAAATTTAATGGGTTAACCCAAAAGGATTTTAATTAAACATATACGTAATTAGTGTCTAATTTGTAGACATGGGATATCAATAAAATAAAAGCGTTGGCTGATGCCAGGCGTTGAGGAAATGCTCAGCTTAAACCAATTTGCATGGAAAGAAGATATATAGTCATATTACTCATTTTCCTTGACTTTGATTAGCTGAAATCAGTTTGATCCGAGATTGTAGTGATTCACAAACGTTGTCGATATCAGATGCCGAAATGTTAAATAATGTATTAATAACTGAATGCAGCAGTCTCCATAAGACGCTTGGAAGGGGGAAATCTGATGTCATACACTGTTTAATTTGCAACGAGCGTGTAACATGTCCAAATAGTGAGAAAAGTTTTCTTTGTTGATAAGAACCTGAAAACAAGATCAACAAAACGCTTCTAGGGGTTAAATCTAGCTTTTTTTGAAGATTTAACTCAGTGGTAGACGCGCTACTGAAGAGAGCAAAGTTTGACCAAAGCTTTCAGCATCGACGATTTTTCGGGACTTCCCTGCTTTGACGTATTCCGATCCTAAAATTGGAATTGAAGCTGCTCAAAACAAGAACAATGGCGGTGTATCACATGGTAAGGGTTGTTATATTTTCAAGTTAATTTCAGTAAATATAACTGCTGATAAAACGAGAACAAGGATCGACAAAAACTGAGATATGAGAGCTTGAGGATAATTTTCCTCAAACTTGCCTCAACCTGCGGTTAAAGGAATTTCACTCTTGAGTCTCGACGTACTCTCACCGTCAAACCGTAAATGAAAATTTTCGACCACGTTCATGCCGTGGTCAAAATTCAATAAATTGACGAGACTAAATGGGGCAAGTGAGAGCGGATAAGTGGCTTGAGATCAACAAGACCTTTGAGAGCAGCTGTTTGGAGCGCTGTCTACTATCCTGGAATCAATATGACTCTTGTTTTACTTATTAAATGCATTATGGCTTCTCTCTGCTTAAACTTCTTCAACTGAATATTATTTTTCGTGTGGTTGAAACTTTCTTCTGATATATAAATGAAAGTCAGATCTAAGCTCATATATTAAACCTTTTGACGACAAGAAATTACAAATTTCAAAAACGAAGCCCGCAGTTTTGAATTGCGCCGCACTCTTCTGCCGCTGCAGTTCAGCTTGCTGAGCTAAAAGAGAAAGAAAGGTATTTGGTAAAAAGCACCGCGGCTTTTAACATAAGTCGCGTGAGCCAGAAAAACCAGAAGGCGTCACCGTTTGTTTCGCCGACAGACATTAATAACTTTTTAACTGAGGTAAAAGTGGCAAAGCTATTTTCACAAAAATACCGCAAAATCGGGCATTGCCGACACAGTCAGCTGCCAAAAGGTTAGTAATAAAAGCAATAACAGATGAATATTACATTTAGAAATAAAAACAAGTTGTTGCTGTGTAGCACCTTGAATTGAATAAAATTGCTTTCGTTTATGAGTTTACAAAAAGTGCTTAACGGTACTTTTACAGGCGTTTCGGGAAAAAAACCCTTCATCAGTCGGAAATGAAGTGTTAAACGCTCCGTTTACGACTGCTGCAGACTGCTGAGCAATTTTAACAGATGAACATTGCTTGAGGCGTAGCACAAATAAAGACACACGCCAGTTTTTATCCATATATTTATTTAGATATGTGACTCCTTAGCTCCATATATGTTAGCTGGTTCTAATGTTTCAAAAATTAATTATCAACTGTAGTGTTATTTCATGGTTATGACCTGATAAGGGCTTGTACTGATAGTGTGCAATGATCTGTAAAACAATTGAATTGGTGGAGTCCATTGTTTTTGCTCAGAATAATTTTTCGCGAGAACAGCCGGAAACAACCAACAAACCTACCTCGATGGTCAATGCATAAAAGTCAAAAATTAGGCGTGTTTGAATGAATTTTATAAAGATGCACAAATTTCTACTAGACAATCGAAATGATGAAAATAGAGCTTTTCTTCATTTCCGTGAGGTTTTGTTGCCACTTTGACTAAAAATATATGGAACAAGATTTGCGGGCTTTATTATCTGAATGTATTGTGCTTCTTAGACAGCAAATAAGTCTGTATGGGTTCTCCCGATGCATAACGTTGACAAGGTCATTTCAACATTTTAAGCCTTTGTTTTCGGTATTTATTACGACGTACAACAATTTGGAGGAGTATGTACTTCTACAGAAATCTAACCGGACACAGCGGGAGCTTAATTTTATCGAGATTCACCTAATAAAAGTATCGCATGGTTTTACTAGCAAGCTGCCATTCAACTCGGGCATAAACAAATATTACTAATTCACGCCGAACGAAATTTTCATAATTGCTCCTTTATTAGAATAAACTGACTCCCTACATTTCCTCTATCAATTTGATAACTCCGCTTTTTCCAGTTCCGTTACATCTCCTTTTTATAATTTCTTGCGAGGTCCTACTTGTTTTCATGTATATTCCACAAGGAAATTTCCAGTTTCCGGAAAAAAAACAGCTCATTGTGTGTCTCGTGACACATGCACCTAGACTTTGTTTTGAATTTACAGTAAGACGTCTGAACAAATCGATCTTCTGGATTTAGAGCCTTATACGGAAGAAGCCTACCTCCCACGAGATGGGATTGTGCGGAAAACAGTATTTGTTTGGTGATTAGTTTGTAGTGTCTACAAATAATCACAGTTACATTTTTAAACACTGAGCCAATGAGGGTATAATCAAATCACAGCTCAAGACAAACGTTGTTAAAGCAAGCAGTACATAGCTGATCTCTTCAACTGTCTTTAGCACTCTCCTCCGATCGCACGGCTGTTTGAATCAAGCTACAAAAAGTTACTGAATTAATTTCCGTTTTCCTTTCATCACTGTTTTCATTCCACGCGGAGAACTAAGATGAATAAAAGACATGTTAATTGTGTATGGCTTGTGACGTCAAACTTAACTTCAGCGACCTGTCAGATGAAAGGCATTTTCAAGTTTGACGAGTTGGCGAATCGTTTTGTTCAGAAGTAAGAGGGTTTTCCCTCATGGCCGTTGCTGAGCCACCGTTTCTCACTTGATCAACAAAGTACATTTCACTCCAGTGGCAAGTAACTTGGTTGATGCCTGCCATCGTTTTTCAGAATCGACGAAGTCTTTAAAATATGGATACCTTCGGGCTTGCGGTGAGTTGGTTCAGATTGATGAATAGATTGACCATGCATGTGACGAATGGAGGACAATTTTTGACAAAAGTTTTCCGTACCGCAATCAGGTGTAGGTACATTCGACTGCTCTGCCTGTGTGAACTACTCTGGAAGACTATTCCACCGCAGTTAGCACGGAGAGTTGCATTTGACAGCGGTTTAACCCATTTGGTCTTTACTCACTGCGTGCGTGCAACTCACTGTTCATGAGCAACGTTTTTATTATTGAAACGCTCAAGATACTTCAAGATGCACACCTTTACTAGGTCTCCCATATCTAAAATTTGCGCGGATAGAGGTGATTTAGAATTCGTTGCTCCATTCTCAGCCCAGCTAAACGTTTAACTTCTGCAACGCTTCAATGAGTTCACGACCGAAATGAAGGCCTGTAAATGCAGACATAATTTCTTGTTCTGTGATTGAAATGCAGATTCTAACACTCCAGTTGAAATGCCTTGCATGCAAGATTATTTTGCAGTCATTTGGGCCACAGCTAGTAACAAGTGAACCGATGCACTTGCACTTCACTCGGTAAAAATTTGGAATTTTTTCCAAGTTTCCGTCACAGGTTATGCATTGAAAGATAAACAAATAATATTAAGGTAACAATTTTTTTGTGATATTACCTCGGTTAGAATTTTAGTCTAGCTCGGCCGTGGTAGCGGTGCTTACATTCGCATATTATTCAATCTGAAATTAAATGCATACTGTTCACGAACGGCGGAATCGCTAATCCGAATGACTTCCGGGACGGAGTTTCTTAGACCGTGATCGTTGACTAAGGAGTTCACAAGAAAACCGAGTTATTATCAACTAACTGGCGTTTTCTAAGGGAATGAGTTCGACAGTGCAATCTTTCGTAGGAAATAATGGTTTAGTTTCGGACATCCACACTTCCTTAGCAACTTGAAAATTCCCTTCCATACCGTTAAATAATTCGGCTTTCTGATGATTCCGGGAAGCTGATACAAGTCCTTCCGATTTTTCTAGAATATCTCTACCACAAAATATCCGAAAATATCTAAGCATCGAAATATCCAGAAAGTTCACTCAAATTCAGCAACGTTTGTAACATATCGTAGGAGTTCCTTTTTTGGTTATTTTGGCAGATGTTGTTTTCCATTTACAAAACAAATCCGGAAATTCCGGTTGAGCAGTAAATAAGAGTGGACTTTCAGGTTCAGTCAAGTGGAACATTTCCGGAAGGTAAGGTAATGCGTTGAGCTGTTGTTAGGATGTACTCATTTCACTTTTGGCTTTAACAGCCTCACGACGATCGAGAATCGTGAAAATGTCTTGAACATTTGCACAGTGTTGTAAGCTACAGCAACGAACTACAATAAACTCAACGATAAACTTGAACTAGTCCAGTCACATAAAGACAAGTTTCTGCCGAATGGCACTTGGCCGAGCGTCTACTGGGGTGGCTCGCATAAATTATCAGGGTCAACTAGGGGAGCCCCCATAGATCCAAACATTACAACACACAGGTCAACACTGATTTATGTAGTTACCATGGAAACATCTGACCGCCTCAGGGATATAACAAGAGGGACCTCAAAACTGAACCTGAGCCCGCAGTTTTTATAAGACCTACAGGTAACAAATATGCTGAAGGCACGGGTGCTGCCATTGGGAACTGATAAAAGCGTGTCACTGAAATGTCCCTAGAATGATAACGACCCGGTTTTTTGGTCTTTCCATGAACATGGAGAAAAGATTATAACCAGGGTAGCGAAGAATGAAAACTTGACATGGGAAAGCTTAAAATGGGATCTTGGGATCTTGGCGAAGATCTAAAATTTGCAGCCTCCCCCTGCGTAACTGGAGCCGGGGATGTCATAGCGCGCAGTTGCTTTTGTTTTGGTGGAGAAGCCATGAACGCGAGTGGCGAAGCCGCGAGGGATTTGGTGACGAGTCGACTAAATTCCTTCGCTGGCGAATAAAATGGCACCTCCGCCACAGAAAATCACGTGTTCACAGATCCGTCAGGTAGCAGCTAACAGCTAACAGCCTCCAGCGTCGGCTGATAACTCAATTTAACTTCGGTCTTGTTCTCGGTGTTACTGACGATTAATACTCTTCTCCTACTCTCCTTTTGTTGTCTTTGGCAGCTTCTTTTTTTCACCGTGGGCCTACATTGTTTCGCTTGGTGCGATTTAAATGCATCAAGCAAACAGAACACTGTTGACGTTACTTTGGAATCCTTTGCGCGCCAAAACAGAGGCAGACGATTTCTCCAGATGACCGAGGAAGGGAACAACAGATTCAGTCTGTCATTCACTGGACGGCAGGGTGAACTGGGTACAAGTAAGCATAGCGGTAGCTGACTTTTGTCGTGTAGCTATAGGAAGTCTTTGCTGTTTTCATTTTTCCTCATTAACATACGACTTTGCGCAGAGAAGCCATCACGCTAGACACGAATTGACAACAAACAATTAAAGAACTTGTGAAAGTTAGTAGTTGGTGTAATTTTTGGCTCTTGGGTGTAATATTTAGGGAGAAATTGGCTTTCAAAAACTGCAAAGTTTCTGGATGGCAAAATCGCTGAGCTCATATATTCTATGTAAACTTTTGAGTTTTAACCCATTGACTCCTGTGCCGGCCGTATCCGGCCGTGACGAGCCTTGGCCTTTCTTCCACTTCTGACGTCATCACCCTTGGCCAAAATTGGCATCATCTATGCTCAACTTCTGCAGAAGGAAAAGATCTTTCCAATGATACCCAGATCAGAGTGATCGGTCCAATGGAGCCTGAGATATGCACAAAAATGCTCAAAAAGTTGAGTGAAAAACTCAGAGCAAAATTTCCTGCCCCTACACGTGGCTACTCCATGGCAAAAATTCCCTGTCTCGATGATGCTTTCTCAGAATGTTTTAAACTGGAAGCAAGCCCAGTAGAAGGTCAATCACTGCANTGAGACAACATTTCTCAATTTACAAAACGTGTCTGAACATTTCTATGTCATCTCCAGTTGCAAATGTTCGGCGATTGAACATTTGAATTTTTATGTATAATTACATTATAGAATTACACCTTAAAAAGCGCGTCAACAGATGAATTTAAATTTTTGAAATACACTAGAAACAACGAATAGAAATAGCAGCAATAACAGCAAAAAACAAAACCAAAACAAATAGAAAACAACAAAAGCAAAATATATGTATATAAAGATAATGCTTTTTTTATTAAAAGCCTGTATATTATTATCATTATTATTAACGTCTTCCGTCATGTACGTCTATTTTATCTTCACGTTTTTAGCGATGGCAGACATAAATTAGTCACGCACACACACAAGCATTCATGGGTTAATAGTAACGTTCGAGTTACTTTAGTTTAACACAGGTGTGATGGCAGAATCAATGTTCACCGGGGCGACGCTGTTATAAGAAGAACAGAACTTAATTTAGGTTTTCCTTACATGTAGATTAGGCTTGCTCTACTTTACTGAAGGGATTCTACTCTAGTGAATTTTCCAAGCTTTTTAACATTAAATTTATGACAAATATTATTTCCTGGAGTTTGTAGTAAATAAAGCCGTCATTATTTCCTCAGTTTTCCTTTCAGCTTAGACAAGAAGTGCCACCTCTCTCTGCGACTCTGCTACGTTTTCTTTCCCGTTTGTTAGACGCCTCAATCTGGTTTGTCTTTTTTCGTTTGTTCTCAGGTACGTAAATCTGGTATGTCTTCCCCAATCTGTCCCCGCACCAACAGACGGTACCAAGTGCTGGATCACGGGTTGGGGCAGACTTGCTTCCGGTGGAGCCACTCCAAACATTCTTCAACAGGTTCAAGTTCCAGTGGTCAGTCGCGCCCGATGTGATAAAGCCTACCCAAAAAAGATCCATGACTCCATGATCTGCGCGGGCCTGGACCAGGGTGGAATTGACTCCTGTCAGGGGGATAGTGGAGGACCGATGGTGTGTGAGACTGGTGGGAGGTATTATCTTCAAGGTGTCACCAGCTGGGGCTCTAGATGTGCTTCTCCTGGGAAGTTTGGTGTCTACGCCAAAGTGAAATACCTGTTGAGCTGGATCGTTGGCGAAATGTCTAAGAACTAAGCTAAATCAACCCGCGATAGTTTCGTAATGGTGTAAGGTAAAAATAAATTCTCCATACTGGAGATAAGGAAGAACATTCAATAATGTGGTCGGGAAAAAATTAGTAATAAAAGCATGCATTAAAGAGAAACCTGTGTGCAATTGTAGTCTTTTAAGTCCTGACCTAAGTTAGTGACTATAATCTAAGAAACACGTATTTCCTCGCTTTTTATTAATTTACTAACTTGTAGAGCACTTACAGAAGGTCTAAAAGGGGATGCTGAATGCAACCATCTCTATGCTGTGAACAAATTAACACTGAGGCGATCGTCTGAAATTTCAGTTGACTGTTATATACGCAAGTGACTAACTTAACAATCTTTAAAACCAATCAATCAATTAATTGCAAAGACCAACCAAAACTTTATCTTAACCAAACAATAGTGAATCAAATTAACTTCTCGGTAGTTCCATTTTGTGATTTTATCTGTCAGCCGATATTATCTACAACGGGAAACAAGTGTAAAGTGTTCACCTGTTTTTGGAGGGGCGGATGGCATTTATTCATGCCATTTCAGGTGTGCTTCTGTAACATGGATAAAAATAATGGGTGTATGTATTGAATGAGCACTTTTAAAGTGTGTGCCAACTGTATTTTTGCATAAGTGCGAATGAATTAATACATTTCGAAATTTTGACATTATTTATCCACTATCGTAGATTTTCCATTTTCTAATGACGTCGGGAAATCCAGCGGATAGCGTGGTTTGTTTCGTTCACACTTATCCACTGGATAGCGATTTATCAGGTGGATAGCGTTATCCAGACTTCGAACAACTGGGGCCTGAATCTTATCCATGTATGGGTATATTACGAACTTTCACGTTACCAGTTCCCGGTTGGCTTGATAGCTTATTTGGTAGAGCATTGCAGTGGTACCTAAGAGGTCATGGGTTCGAAACCCGTTCAAGCCTAAAGTTGTCCAGGCTTTAATTTCACAGCAGAGCTGATTAAGCTGTGTATATAACTGCGACGATCAATCATAAAGGGAATTGAAGCCATAAACTTCACTTTTTCAGCCGGAAAAAACCTGATTTTCCCATAGCAACCGTGTTATGACAGCCATGTTTTTTAACGGATTAGGAATTTCATTTTTCCCAATAAAAAAAATATATTCTGAAGTAACTGTCACTTAGCTTTCGTTATCAGGTTTGATTAGTTTTGGACCAGTTTTGGTGGTTTTCGGATGTGTTGATAGATTTATAATGGTAATAGGACTGAGTGGAGTCCAGTTCGGTCTGTAATCATACGAGTGATTAAAGAGTTTAAGCATGAGGTTTACGGCGGACGGCAAACGGCAAAGATTACCTCTGATTTTTTATTCTACTCTTGTAATCCTTAAATTAATCACACAAAAATATAAAAAAATGTCTCCTACTATTCACCGCAAATACAAAGATTCTCACTCTACTGTACAGATAGCTGAAGACAGACGGCAAAAGTTTCATTTTTGCCATTTGCCGTTTGACGGGTTACGTCATGGTCTGAATAAGGTTCCCATATGGAAAGGACGGGGGTGCTCCTCGGACATTTTTAAAAGAACCCCTAAGACGTACCAAGATCCTGTTTTGTGGGCGCTGTGGAGCTCTTGAGGCTGAACACCCTGAGATGTACCAAAACCGATTTTTTAACTCCTAAAAGGTACGACGACCACCTCCGTCCTTTTTATATGGGAGTTCCCCCCCCCTCCCCCTCCCCCACCCCCACTCGGCGAATAAGGTTTACGCGGCAGACATTAAAGGATGACACTCAGTGCCCCATAAATAGAACTCAGTTTGTAATCTAGTTAGACTGCGAGCAGTCCCTTTCTTTTCCTAGCCTGAGAGAAGGGCATAATATCAACTGACTTCCGCGCGCGGAGGATTTAAGAGGCTGTCTCTGTAAAAACCGACCACTGATTTTACTTCGAAAATTCGATTTGTTCAGTTCCCAATCTTCCCGTGAGTATCACATCGTTGATTCCCGTTATACTCACGGGAAGATTGAGAACTAAAACACCTGTTGTAAACACAAAATGGCCGTGGCATTTATCAATCCTTCCTTGGCTCCCCGGATCACCGTTTACTGTTCATACATGTATGTGTGCCGAGAGTTGTCTAAAAGAGTCCTTCTACAAACCTTTCAAGAGGACTCTACATGATTAAACCGACTTCGAGGAAAACAATGGTCAGTAATACAAAAAACATCGAAGTATGTGATCGTCACGCTCGACACAGATGAGGAACGTATAANAAAAAAAAAAAAATCGAAAAGCCTGAAGACGTAGGTCACTTTTTCAAAATTTTGATTTCTGCGCATGCCTGTGCGGAAATGCCGTAAAACGTTATGCTAGTGGAAAGAAAGGCATGCTGTCATGTTGCAAATGCCTTTTTGAGTAGATTGGAGCTACTTGGCCCATATCCAGCCTGAAAATCTCCAAAATGTCCTAAAAATGCGTTTTTGGCAAAAAGCTCCAGGAGTCAATGGGTTAAACCCGCGTCACCCAAAATTATTCAATTCATCGGGCTCAAATTCCTTAGGACAATTAATCGCAGTAAGGATGCGCAATGCAAATGTAAGGAATCACCCTAAGTTAATAAGGCAAATATTGTAAACAAACAAAGATTTTCCTATAGCAAGGATAACAACTTCGTTTCTGTTGTAATCTGATAACAATAATGCATTATAAGAAAAAACAATTAAGACTATTTTAATGTCGGACAAAAAAAAGTGTCCGAAAATAAAACCGTCCGGAATTCTTAGAGTCCGAAAATTTAAGAAATATTTACAGTACATTCTCAAACTCATTAATAATTCATTACGTTTAAACAAAGGAAGTCATGACCGTGACAGTGTTTGGAAATCTGATCTTAATCAGCATAGATTTTTACGATTTTATTTCTCCGTTTTCTCCTTAGTTTTAGTTTCGATTGAGAAGATATATGAAACACTCTAAGACAGTGCTTGACCACATTTCCAAACACCTCGAAGTTCGTCAAAAATACTCTGCTGCGCGTCGTATTTTCAACTCTCTTCTCGGTGTTTGGAAATGTGGTCAAACACGGTCTTTCGTGTTTGATATATTACGTATAAAACTTTGAGGTAGCTCCAAATCTCTAGCTTAGATACCTTTATGCTGGGCTTAATAGAGCGAGCCCTATTTGGAACACTGCATAACGTGACGTACGCAACGGCTTGATAGAATTTGTGTTATTTTCTCGTCGGTGTATTTGTAAAACCTTGAGGGTGCAGTAAAACCTTCATTTTCATTAATGTTGTTTCAGTCTAATTAGTGTTTTGCAGGCGTAAATTTACTTTAGCTATATTTCAGTAGCTTGCATCGCAGGCAGTCTAAACCGGGGATTTTGTGACACGTCCGGCTGCATGTTTCAGCAAAGTGTCCAAAATTTTTGTCCGAAATTTTTATCCGAAATTTGTCTGAAATGAGATAAGTGTCCGAGAATTAAACGTCCGGAATAAGACGTCGGCAATTTTAACTTTCGAAATTTTTTGTAAGTAATATAGCATTTCACCTCGCTCCTCCAAGTAGCTCTCATTCCTTAAGTATTCTTTGGCGCGAAATGACATGCTTTTTCTTCATGTTCTTAACCAGAGCATAAAATTAAAAATTCCGCATTGATAAACGGGCGAAAGATGAACTTCTAGCCACGCCCGAAAAATGGATTCCGTTACCCTTTAGAGTTGTCCTTTTCAAATTTCAAGGAGCCCCCATCATTTTCACAGGTTTGAATCCCAACTGTGTTCCCCCTCAATGGGAAAATTTGCGTACGGTTTTAACGCCTCTGTATGTTTTTCCGTACAGAATTTATCTGGAGGAAGAAACGTACAGTCTCTAACGTGGAATTCACTTTACACTCGGCTGGAATTCCAAACTACATCCTGTGTGCGGATGATGGAAAGTTAGTGATTAAGGTAAACTTCTGGAATGCTTTCAAATATTTAACATTATTCTTAAAGTGGAAAAACAAACAAAAAGATGAATTTAGTTTAGTCTCTTGATATAATGGTCAAGATTGTCATTTTCTTTTGTTTAAACCTGATGAACTATTAATGAGTTTGAAAAAAATTGCTTCATAGACTCTTCGCATAAATGGCGTCTAAATTTGATTAACAAACTTATACATCCTAAACCTCACATTCATGCGAAAAATCCTTTGTCTGGAAACATCAGTACGACGCTAAGGTGTATAAAGTATTGTTATTCAAGTTTGGGGGTCATTTATGCAAAGGGTCTATGTTTCATTCACGCGTCTTTGAAGTATTTAAACATTTACCGTCTTTCTTTATTTCCAAAGCTCTCAAAAGTCGCCGCCTTTATTTCGCACTTCACTTCCTAAAAATAGCTCATTAAAAATAATGGAGACCAGAGCGTGGGCATAACCTGATTTGTGTGAATGTTCTCAGAATCTTATCGTTTATTCACAGAATTCATCAAGGGCGGATGTGGTTGAGGATAACTGCAAGTTGGAGAAGAGAAAGGTCACACTACAATACAGCGACAACTCAAATGTCATTGAAGAATTTTATGAAATACTGGTGTTTCAGTCCAGGCCTCGCGCGGTAGTCAAAACCAGCAGATCCGGGAAAGTGAGTTTGGACAAGTGGAAGAACTGGAAAGACTCGCAAGCCTGGATCAGCATTACAGATTCCCCGGGAAGAGGAATACCATATCAAAAGGTCGGAGATGCTCGTCGGAAAATTTGAATTAAACCCCTACAGGAGAACAATCTGGGCGCGCGCGGTTCGAGCTTTATTTAACTCCTTGAAGGCCCTAAAAGGTGCCACTTAAAACGGAACGGGTTCGATCGCCAGCCACTGTTCAGGCAGGGAAAGACCGCCGGAAATCGAGCCTCAAAACGGAAAAAAAGACCGTTTTAATTATTATTTTTTCTAGTGCGCCCTTAAGATACTTTGAGAGCTAAAAGTAGTGGCGTTTCGTGATAAATACCCTTAGTGAGACCAGAATCCTTGATTTATCCTTCTAAACGAGACGACGAGCTTCCCCGACCTTTTTATATGGGAGTTTCCACCACCCCCCCCCCCTACCCCTGGGACAATTTCTCTATTAAAAATGGCGCAACAGTGAATCGCGTGACGTGCGCAGTTATAAACATCATCGGTGACGCAGCATTCTTTCAATTCCTTGTAACAATTTGTTTGAATGGTGACGGTAAGGAGTGGCCGAGTGGTTAATGCGCTGGACTTGAAATCCGGAGGTTGCGAGTCCAAGTCCCGCTCTGACCACTAAGTTGAACTTGTTACTAGGTAGACCCTAGTTCAACTAATCGGTCATGCCTGTAAGTAGCCAACTGGTGTGCCTCCCGCCAGCGATTTTTAAGCCTGTTATGTTCAGTTGATATATTTGTTTCATTCAGTTTAAGTAGCATGCTTGTGAACTAGCGAGGTGTAGCTAATCGCATTGACCACTGTAAATGACAACATTTGAACACTTCTTTTTTTGGTAAGGTCATATGAGGGTAATTCTTGATCGTTTCGGAGGTTGGACTTTTATTGGTACTGTAACTGCGCTTTTTAGAGCGGTTTTCAATTGAGTGTCGTAAAACCAAAACCAAAGTTATCACTCTAGCCAATTACAAAGGACATAGACAGTACAGCGAACCAGTCAAACTCGAAGTAATTACATGAAGCTGACACAAAGCGCGGGAAAACGTGTGCGCACGCTTCACCATTGGTTTTGGTTTCACTTCTGATTGGATGAAAAAATGGCGCAAGTTTTTAAGCCAATCGTGTTTCGTGGAAAGTGCAAAACCAATTACTTTTCGACACTCAGGCCCCGCCCACACGTAGCCGGATATTTTTGAATCCGCAACTTTTTCTTTCCGGATACGGCTTCCGTCCACACGCATCTGGCGAATTCGGCAGCGAATCCGGGTATTTTTGCTACTTGTGGACGGGAAAATTTTTGAATCCGGAAAGAAAAAGTTGCGGATTCAAAAGTATCTGGATACGGGTGGATGGGGCCTGAGATGAAAACCGCTCTGAGAGGCAGTGCATGCATGCTCTTTAATTCAGGTCGTAACATCACGCCACGTCATACATCAAGCGCTCGCGCGAAGGAAGAAATATAAGAAAGCTTAGTGCTTGGTACAGGTTCCGTTAACTTCATCCGCAGTTTACTCTCTTAAGTGGTCGGTGATCCACTCTTTTCTTTTCATAGATCACTTCATTTCCTGTGGGCAGGCAAGACTAGTAGTATGTATTCTTTTTAAGGCCTGCTTTACCTCAAAGAACGACATCAGTTGGAAAAGCTTAAGTTTACCTAATAGAATTTAATGCACCTTACCTCAAAAACGAGCACGGCGACCCCCATTTGTTTTGTCCAAAGTTGATCTTTACCTTAATTCATGGCGAGATTTTAACAAAAATCTGTATGTGGGCGCGAACGTTCTACACTGTAAGAGAGTAAGAAAGTAAGCAAACAAGTAATTTAAAGTAAGGTAACTAACTGTTTAATTTGTAAGTAGCGTATTGTGAGTAATCGTATTGTATTAATAGTAGTGAAATTAACTGTATTGGTGTAATTGTAAGTAGTGTGAGTGCTATATTAATATAGCAGGAAGTATAAGTAGCTGTATTGTATTGTAAGTAGTGTAAGTGGCTGTATTGTATTGTAAGTAGTGTAAGTAGCTGTATTGTATTGTAAGTAGTGTAAGTAGCTTTCTTATATAGCTGGAGTTAAGCTGAATCTAACGCACGCCCTTGAGCGTTGTTTGATTTATGGTCACGTGGCAATGTCACCCGGATGGGCAAAAATTACCAAATTGCTCTCCAACTAAGCAGAGATTTCTTTCACTTCTTCTTGACTTATTACTTTACACTAAACTCCAGCTATATAACAACAACAACATCTTTGTTTTCGTTCATTTTACATTTTACAGTTAGACTGATCCGCTGGTAAACCAAACAAACATATAACAAAAACACTAAAATTACTGGTCCATTGGGAAACAGTAAGTTTTGTTTTCCCGAGAGTATCGATGTTTCCCGGGACGAAGTCGAGGGCCGAACATCGAGATCAGCCGGGTAAACAAAACTAAATGTTTCCCAAGGGACCACTATTCGTCTCCGGGAAACATCGATCGATATTTACGGGAAAACAAAACTAAATGTTTCCATGGGACCAGTAATTAAGTGTATAGTAATGTATCGTAAGTAGTGTAAGGTAGTAACCGTATTAGTAAATGCTAAGAAGTGTGCGTGAAAATTAATTTTTCATCGATTCTTTTTTCGCCAATAAAACTTTTGTCAACGGAAAAAGGTAGGTTTCAATGGATGTAGAAACTGGGTTCCCGGAAAGCATGCATGGCGTTCGAGTTCTCAGAAATGGCATAATTTCCGACAAAGCAAAGCATAGAGACATTCTGACTTGCTGCTGGACTAAATCATCGGAAAAACAAATGCGAAATATCACCTCTTTTTTTTGGCGCATTTACAGTATTTTTAAATTGAGCGTAAGCTTAAACTGCTTTTAAAAACATCGAATTAGGCCTATGCGCCAGTTTAAAAATGCTTTAAAAATCGTGATTTAGGCCTAAGCAAAGGCAGCTTGCGGTTAGCCATAACATGTTGTTAAGGTCAGCGAGCCGTAGCCTTACATTTGAGTTTTGTTTCTTTCAACGCTGAGGGAACACGAACAGTCATCTAGCGATGAAATCATGTCCTGAAGTTTGTTGTATCCATCCTTCTCGACCCCATGTTACAGAAAAAGCGAGCAGGTTCAATGTTCGCTGCATCAGTATCTATCGACTGAATTCCTTTCGTGAACAGCTGGTATAAAGTAAAGGCAGGCATCCCCACTGGCACAGGACGAGGGCAAAGAGTCTTTAAGACGTCGTAGACTTTAGAGATAGAGCATTCAACAATCGCCGAGATTACGAAGACGTCTTTGCAGGGTGAAAAGGGCTTTGACGTAAACGATACCGTGAGCCTACTCTTCAAGTGTAGCATCGAGTAAGTTTTCAAGTGAACGCTAGGAAGAAGAAATTCACCAGGGACCCAGTTGATTAAAAAAAAACCAATGCATGTTTTCGTGCAGCGTGAAATATGCTTAAACAGATGATTAAGTGAATGTAAATTTGTAATTTAAATTTCTTGGAATGTTAACGAGTCAAGTAAAATAAAAATGATTTTCCTCGTAGTGTAGTGGTATAGATGAGAGACTGGTAAGCGAGAGGTATGCGAAAGGTAAGTGGTTCGAGACCGGCGGGGGCACAAGAAAAAAAAAAGGGGGGAAAAATGCGTAAGGAGCGTGGGTAATATGGGGGAGAAAAAGAGAGAAGAATGGAACTACAGCGCGCAATAAAATCTTCTTTTATTCATACAGTAAGTAGTAATTATCAATGTATATATTCAATACCTTAGGGAGATGCTATTGTCTTCAAAGACAATAGAGCGCATGCATAGTTAATCATTCTGCGTGCGTAATAAATGTATGGGGTTATTTAACAAATTGACGTCAGTTTTTTATGCGTCTGTCCTCTTATTGATGATAAATTGCGTCAAAACATTGTCAAAGTGGCTGTGCGGCGAGTGGTTCCGCAGTAACCAAAATGACGCGAACATCGTCAATAGCTTTTCTCGCTTTTTGATTGGCTACTTTAAAAAGTCCCTAAAATCTCATTGGTTAAAGAGTTGACGGTTTGACAGCTGAAAATTGAACGTGAAAGCTTGCATGAATTAAAATTTCACCCGTCTATACTCTTATTGATGATAAAAATGAGCCAATCAGTGCGCGAGAAATTGGACAGTTATTGTGAAAATGGAAATTTTTCCACGGCACACCCCAGCAGCTTGGGTCCTGGTCCTGGATATAGGAGAAAAACGCAAGACCCATCTGTAGTAATGGCGACTGTTGACTTTGTACTGTGGGGAAAACACGAGGGCACTTTCAGTTAATCAAGCGGGCTTTCTTGACCACACGTGAAGGCTTTGGGGAATGGTTGTGCCTAAATCCACCCAAAACAGTTCCCACAACATCTTGGATGAGAAAGCGCGAGAGGGCTGGAGCGAGTTAAAAGCGGCCATGGGAGGGAGGGGATGACACTCTGAAAGAGGGGAAGAGAAGGGAAAATACGTTTGTTTTGTTTTTTCTCGCTCCCCCGCCTCTTTCCGGCCTCGTTCAAACACTCTAACTGCATTGATTATTTTGTGTTCCCTCGTGAAAAACGCCTGCATTGCAGACTAGTCTCTTATGAGGGTCTCCCAGGGGTTTTGGGGAACAAGGGAACATTGGCAAAATATCGAAGGGAACAAGGGAACGTTAGCCTTTTTTTGGGAACAGGGGAACAAAACTCGAAAAATTACAAAGGGGAACAAATAACGAAAATGTGTGGAAATATGGGAACATAGGGTAATTTTTGAACGGAACAAGGGAACAAAGACCCCCCTGGGAGACCCTCTCTTATATTCTCACTGTCACGTCATGTTCCGCTCTGTTGAAAACGACTTCGTCCATTTCCGTACTGCAACCTCGTCCCCAGGGTGCTTTCCTCGACGATTTTCAAAATGGCGGCTCGTCGGGAGACCATTTTAAAAAGTGGAGAAGTCCTTGGGGACGAGGTTGCTCTTTGATGGGTGATATGCTTCTGTTTATACGGATCGCGCTCTTTTTTGGAAGTGACACTCTACATCTGTGGCCACATAGTGGTGGCCATCTGTGGCGTCGAACGGTGGATGGCAGTGATGGAGCCCGTGGGAGTCGTGAGTAAATGGCTTGGTATTGAAAAACTTTACCTCACGAAAATAGAAGGTTGCTGTCCTACGTCAATTCCAGTGAGCGAAGTTGTGTTCAGATATAGGTGGTTCACAGACCGGGTATGTTTTGGATTCGGTGGGTTAACGCTGGCAGCTCAAAACTTATACTAAACTGCAAACAAGCTTACTGAGTTTATCAGGGTCGCAAACATAGCTAAACATCTTGTTACGCTGTGTTACGGATGCTGTGTTGAAGGAAATTACTATACGCTATGTGTCATGAACATGTTGAGTTATTTTTCGTCGTTTCCCCATTAAATATAAACTTAATTAGCACATAGATCGACATCTATCAAGAAGAATAATAAGCTTAATAGTATACATGAAAAAATTACTCAATTCTGATTGGCTGAGAGCAGTGCAGTTCAAGTGTAATACCAGTGCAAAAAGTGTAACACCAGTGCAAATTACACATTTCATTTTCATTTCTTATTCATTGACTGTGGGACTGCAGACTGCAGTAGCACTTCAGTTCAACACTTAGTTCATTTCTTATTCATCGACTGCGAGACTGCAGACTGTAGTAGTACCTCAGTTCAACACTTAGTTCATTTCTTATTCATCGACTGCGAGACTGCAGACTGCAGTAGTACTTCAGTTCAACACTTAGTTCATTTCTTATTCATCGACTGCGAGACTGCAGACTGCAGTAGTACTTCAGTTCAACACTTAGTTCATTTCTTATTCATCGACTGTGGGACTGCAGACTGCAGTAGCACTTCAGTTCGACACTTGACTTGATTGACATGGTGACCTGAAAATGTCATGCAAAGGGTCCACTTAAGGTAATTTCCCTGAAATAAAACTGTCAATAGATTTTTGTTCAAACTTTGTCCACTGAATATTTATCATATGAGAACTTTAATTATAAAATAAAAAAGAGGGGGTGCCCATGCTCGTTAAGGAGCAGTGATGCATTGAAAATGTCCCATTTTAGCATTATTTAATGCTTATTACAAGAATGCATTCCAAGTTATTGTTAACTCTTTGTGAGCCCAGACTCATAAAAACAGGCCTCAAACTACAGTCAATACTAGTCTTGTGTTGGACACAGACAGCTGAACCCTTGTTAAAATATTGGAACCAAATTGCTTGCCACTGCTATCAAACTGCAAAATAGAAAAGACTACAGTGCAGCTGCTATTTTCCCTATTTATTCAATTTTCAACAACACAAATCAGATCAGTCTTTTCTCACGCAAAGCTAATGATTAGTTGATTAAAATGACTGGAAAAAAAATTTGGGGTGCCCGAGCTCTTTAGTGAGCTATAGTCATTTTTCAACTGACAGAACTCAATATCAAGGCAAATCCACCATGTTTTCAATGTGCACGTGCACAAGCGTGCGCGAATGACGCCATAAATTATGCGCAGTAAGGATGCGTAATGCAAGTGTGAGGAATCACCTTAAGCACCACTCAAAAAAACAAAAATTCATGAGTGCCTACTTACTTACAAGTACAGATAAGATGTGCAAAGATTATCCCTTCAAGCACTTTCTTAGACTTGTAAAATAAGGTGAAAAAAGGAAACTATAAAATTTGATTAAAGAAAAAAAAATTACATGAACCTGACACATTTGAATTCTTATCTGATAAATTAACCTGCTAGATTACTTGACTTCAAGGGAAGCAGTTTCTTATGCAAAATTACTCATAATCGTGCATGTACATCTAGCACATTCAAGCGGTTGCCGCAGCACAGATCTCTCGTTAGCTGAATTGCATATCCATTAACAAAATTGTCTTCCAGTTTGCAGAAAGTCCTATACCAAGTGGTCTCTAATTTGATTTCCTGTTTTTCAACAACAGGTATGTGCAGCCCCGAAGGGTATGGTTTTTCAGCTGTTTTGGTCATAAACAGGGTAACAATTTTACCCATTTTGGTCTTAAATAGGGTATGGTCTTCATACTCTAGTCTTGAATTGGGTATGTTGTTTAGGAGAAGCTACTTTTTCATCATTATTAATGAGACCATAAACAAAACCCCTTCAAAAATTATGTTTAGGGGAACTGTGTCAGCCACAACAGTCATAAATAGGGTATCCAATTTTTGGCCTGGCCATAAGTAGGGTAGGGAAAATCGCAGATTTTGGTCATTAATAGGGTAAGGGTTTTGGGAAGCATGCCGCACAACCCCACCAAATTTTTCTGGGAGTACACCACCTCCCTCCCCCCCTTGGGGGGGAAATATATCAGTAACTAAGTATGCATTTGTTTGAATCATTTTTAAGATTTTAAAAAATGTTATGGAGAAATGAATATTTTAAATCTCTCCAAAAAAGTATATTTTCATAATGAAATGACACCCGTGTTTACTAAGATGCAACAATGGACAAAGATAAAGAAACCATGGATGATTTTCTGATAACATAATTATGTAATATTGAAAATTTTAGACTTTTTCATTATTTGCTGTGTGGTTATGGGCACACATGACTCAGTGATTTCACTTTTGCTTTTTGGACTGAGCAAAAGATTCGACTGTACCTAAAGGAGAAAAATTATTAAAATCAAATAGCCACAGGTGTCCTTAGCAATGAATCCAAAAATGTCTGTCCATGGGCCCTTAAATTATTGTACAAAAAGACCCGGCCCACCCAATCTAAGTTATAGCAGCTTGGTGGTTCATTCCCATTTGACCCATATTGCCTGTTCTTTACAGTAATATGTACATAGTAGGTGTTTGTTTTAAACCCAGGTTTGTGATACCTCTCTGCTAATGAGAACATTAATTTTATTGACATGTAGGTCACCCTTGTGCTTGGCATGGAGAGATGGACATGATGGTAGTTCCAAATAATGCAAGTGAGTTTCGCTAAATTGAAAAGTGCAAGAGATTGATATTTTGGACATACATGTTTCTTCATTTTGTACAGTTTGAAGATAATCGTAACAGAAGAAATATGCCCTTGAGCTTCCAAATCTTATAAATAATACTTTTTAAGTTTTTTTTTCAGCATCATCAGGAGTAACTGGTAAGTGAATTCCCTTCACCAGGTTTATAAGTCATATGTAGTGTTACTATAAGGTACAATTTTACAGATGCTTACACAGATGCTTACACAGACTACCCAGCAATTAACTTTGTGCTGCACAAAATTAATTATGAAAGTGAAGAATGATCATCACAGTAAATTTTCCAATTTAAGCAGTTGGAAGGAAGAAGCCTGAAAAAAATCGGGGCTCCAGTGGGATTCGAACCCATGACCTCCGCGATACCAGTGCGATGCTCTACCAACTGAGCTATGAAGCCACACATTTTCAGGCTTCTTCTTTCTAATTGCTTAAATTGGAAAATTTACTGCGATGATCATTCTTCACTTTCATCNTTCACATCATTTCACTCCTCACGGGAAGACATGAACTCAATTAATTGACCTCGCTCCCAATGTGTGGCTTCATAGCTCAGTTGGTAGAGCGTCACACCGGTATCGCGGAGGTCACGGGTTTGAATCCCATTAAAGCCCTAATTTTTTTTTTTCATTTTTTTTTCAGGCTTCTTCTTTCCAGCTGCTTAAATTGGAAAATTTACTGCGATGATCATTCTTCACTTTTATCTACGACTGCAGTTTAAATGTGAATTATTTCATATACACTTCACATCAAAATTAATTATGCCAGTTAATTATGATCAGTGTTCAGGGGAGTGGACTGTGAATCACTGAATGAATGGGTAAAGTTATTTGATCGTAACTGCATAAAATGTGTCACTAGGTGTCTTCATGTGAGCTTTCCACTATAAAGCCAAAATCAAAGCCATCTTAGTGTGGTTGTCTCAGTGGCCTAGTTTTAAGCTCTGGTGATTAGAAGATCTGAGCTTGACTCCTGGCGGGGGCACATTTTCACTCATGATCTTTGTTGTGAGAAGTTAATCAACTCTTCATTTTTTTGACTGTAAGATTATAACTGTAACGCAAGGGCAGGGGATTGCTTGCACGTTCTAGATTTGATTAAATTGTCATTGTGTTGCGTCTTGCATCATGCAGCTTAACGTATTTCATGTAATGGTTTAGGCCACTTAGCTCTAAGAGCCTTTGATTTTTTTTTTTTTTCAGCTGTTCTTGCTCAACCTGTTTTTGACCAGGACAAAGACATGCTTGATGCTGGTAAGGATAAAAACAGTTATCATTAGGCATAATTGTAACTTACGCTTTTTATATAATTTCTAGTATTAGATAAATTGTAATTTAGAGTTTACAGGCGAAGAGACACCCAGTGGATGCGCTGTAATAAACTCTTTATTTTTTTCATCGTCATCATCATTATCATCATCATCATCATCATCATCATTATTATTATCATTATTCATTTATTACATACAAATGAACTAGTACCTTGTATGTTCCAAAATAGGTAGTGCATGCATTGGTGGATATTATCAACATTAGGAAAAGTGTTTGCTTTCATGAAAAAATGACAAAATATGGGAATCTCAACATCCCTTGTATTTCCTGTTTCAAGGTTTTGAAAGCACTTTAAGTTAAGGTTACGTTCACATTCCAATTTCTCCACTCTCCTCAATGAATGAGTGACACATATACATGCATTCTAATGGCTCCGAAGTTAAGGAGATGAAGTTGATACTTCATGTCCAGTTCACAAACTGCAACATTGATCCATATTGTATGTGAATCGATGACATGTTCCTGTGTACATCCAAATAAATACGGCCATACCACTGCCATTTGTAGAACAAGTCGACATTTTTGCACAAATCTATCCTCCAAAGATAAATAAATGATCAGGGACTGGTCAAAAGTCCTGGAGGGGGTTGGGTTTTGAGCATTAATTTTGTGAAAGTCATTGGCTGCTGGAAAATTTGTGGCCTTTATATACTCTTTTCTCTTGGCTCAACATATATCCTAAACATCCTTGCAACACTCACGTCTGTGATACCTAATGATAGTGGGCAATGTATAAAATGAAACTCAGTTCAGTGGCCTCGTGGTTCATAGCCACTTTGTTTAATCGAGGGGGGGGGAGGGGGAGGATACTCCCATATTTAAGGTATATAGGTATGTGCCGCTGTGAAGGGTAGGGTTCAATTAGTAAGAGCTTGAACATTGCGCGTGGGTTTCACATCAAGAAGTAATCAAAAATAAGTATCAACTTCGAGTTGTATTGAAACAACTTGAAGCAAAAAGACTTTGTAGCTCAAGGGGTAACCTCCTGGAGACTAGCAAGTGTGGGATAGGGTGGGAATTTTTCGCAACTAGTCTAGAATAGGGTCGTAGCTGACCACAGTCTGGTATAGGCTAAGGGTATCAGATTTACAGCGGCACACCCCTACCGAAAAACATCCAGAGTACCCCCTAGATTAATCTTTAGGTTGATGTAGCAAAATACATGGCTTGCATTGTAGTATCTTGAAATTTTTTCAAATTATCGTGCTGACTTTCTTTACGACTATATAGCCGTGAATTCTAGAAGCTAGAAATATATCTAAACTTGTTCCTTAACATCAGCCATCACCAGCCACTCAAGGAAAAAGAAAGCAAAACACTTAAGCCGACCAGTTTCAGACATTTTTGTTTGTATTCATTTTGTAGGTTGTTCATTGATTGAAGGGAAGCAGGATTCAAGTGACATGGGATTAGGATTTTCCCAAGCCATTGCTACTGCTATAACATTTTTCTTTGCTTATAAGCACCATTACAGTTATCAAAGGACTCTGTTCCCCATAATCCAAGTCTTTAGAAGTGGATTTGAAATTTTCCTTTACGACTCTGAGACTGATGTTGTTCTCATGAACACGTTCCAATGGCTTCCTACAACAGTTGTTTACTTGTGGGCTGTACTACACTACCGTTTGCTGCTGACCAAAACCACTATATTAGAAGAAAACTTTAAATGTAGTTATAGGAGATTGTCAGATGAATTTGGTGGTTTGACTCGGTTTGAAGGACCCACAAAGTTTGCTCTCCCAATAGCCAATATTTCACATGAGCAAAAACGTATTACTGATGTGCTTTTTAGATCTGCGGGCGAGAAACGAAAACATGTACCATAGATGTAGTGGGCACCGGCCAATAGATGGATTCGGAATTGAACACCTCAGTGAGTGAAAAAAGGGTTGGAACTTGTTTTGGTTGCAAACTACACCCCATGCCACTGAAATCCAAAAGAAATTGTAGGCTGGGATCTTTTAAAATACATGTAACATTGGGAGCATATGCATTTCTTGAGGTTTGTTGAATGAAGTAAGTAACGTGTTGAGGAATGCTAATTACTGCACTGTATGCCAAATACAGGAGGTATCCATAAATAACTCTAATCAGGCGACGTCAGTAAATAAATGGGTTGTTCAAAGCCCGATTAAGCTCACCCAGGATTAGCGAGAATTTTGATTTCAGTTTTGTAACTTTTTGGTGAGGTGTTCTGTTTATATCGTTTGCCCTACAGTTTTGATCTGTAGTAATCTCAAACTAAACCAAACGTTAGAGGTGAAAAACATTTTTAAACAAGAAAAAATAACACTTCAGTGAACATTTAATCCTGGGTTACCGTTAACCGGCTTTCGAACAACCCGGGCCTGGTTCCCAGCCAGTACTATAACCAAATGAGATACACTTGGATAAGCCCGTCAATTTGTCACGGTAAAATTTGTTTCTTACGGCTGTCGTGCGCTCATTTTACAAACTTTTGAAAGCATGTATCGATATCAATAGAAATATTTAAAAATATTAACTTTACAGTTATTGTATATTTCCAAAGTCCCACAAGTAAAGTAAGTGAAGTAAGTAAAAGCTTTATTAATGTGGCAGTGTATTTAGTTTTCACAACTAACTGGGGGCACAACAACAACACCAAAAAAAATTAAAATTATTTACAAATAAGGAATAGTAACAAAAATGTATCTACAATTGAAATATGTAGCATGTATAAATTGTACAATCAAACAATGGGTACATAGGAGGTAGTCTCTGAGAATTGTCACCGGATGTTTGATTTCAGCCACATTATTTGTTCTTGTTGGCCCTCGGATTCCCGATCAAATTGGAATTTAGAAGTGTTTTTTCTTTTTTTCTTGTGGAGGGAGTAAAACCGGAGAACCCGCTGAAAAAACTCTCGAAGCAAGGACGAGAATCAACCACAAACTCAGCCCACATATGACGCTGGGCCTGGGAATCGAACCCGGGTCACATTGGTAGCTATTGGTGGGAAGCGAGTGCTCTGACAAAAGCGCCATCTTACCCTGGTCCCAGAGGTTTTTCTTGATTTTTCTCCGCATGAGAGAGCTGCGAGAGAGCCGCGAAGCGGTGAAAACACGAGTCGCGAAGCGGCGAGAAAGAAAAACCTCTGGTTACTTTGGACTTGAGTCTCACTTTCATGCAGACGCCAGGGTCAGGATCTGACCTTCGCGCTTGGATTGGTTGATATTTTTACAAGCACGCAAATCAATACGATTGGTTCGTTTGATTGGTAATACCGAGGGGACGGTGGGGATATCTGTCATTGCACTTCTTGAGGTAAATTTTGCCTCTCTACCAGGGAAGGAATTTGTTTGCAAAATACTTCAGTTCTCAGTTTATACACGTTCAAGATTCGCCTGTGT